TCCTAAAAGTAAGATGTGGTGTGTGACCGACACAGTGACAGAGTCAGAGAAGCCAGCTCCCCTGGCCACTCTCAGCCTGCGTCTGCCACGCTCTTTTCAGTGGTTTGCTGCTGCCTGGGACCTGCCTGGAGGCTCAGCTGACTCTTCTGGGCCTTGTTGCCCTGGGCAGCTGGCCGCTCATTAGAAGGGCTCAGACTGGCAAGTGGGTAGGAGCAGCCCCTGGGGGCCAGTGCCCTGTCTGAAGTGTGGGAGGCCTCAGGAGCAAGTGGCCTGTGCTCTCCTCAGGAAGCCTCTCCCTTGGTAATTAATGAGTAATCCCCGAGGGGGACTTTGGACCCCGAAAGTCCCCTGCCCCCATGAACTTTCTCCCAGTGGGCCGGGATCCCTGGTGAGTCTGCTTGTCTTAGGGATGGTGGCACGGATGCTGACTGCACTCCTGGCACTGCTGCTGCGGTAGGAGCATTGCCCTTCTCCTGCCTGCCGTTGCCATCCAGGAGCGCTGCAGGCCCTGGTTGGACAGAGTCATTCTTGTTGCCCATTCTGTCACAGCTTTGATGCCCAAGTTGTCCTGCTCTTGGCTGCTCACTGGTCTCGGTATCTGCTGATGTCCTTTTATTTATTTTTTGTAGAGATGGGGTCTTGCTCTGTGGTCCAGGTTGGTCTTAAACTCCGGGGCTTAAGCCGTCCTATCGCTGGGGCTCCCACAGTGCTGGATTACAGGCCTGGGTCCCCACACCCGGCCCCGTCCCTGCCCCCACGCCCGGGCCCTGCTGATGTCTTCTTTCAGAGCCTGCAGAGCCAGCAGGGCTTTCCCGGGCCTCAAGTGTCCTCACATCCCACCACAGTGACATGTGGCATGTCCGAGCCTGTCCTGGTCCGCAGGTGGTGTGGGCCACTGAGGTTTGTCCCCAGCTGCAGCTGCCCCCTCTTCCTTGCAGAGCCCTTGCCTGCTCAGTGGTGACCGCCTCTGTGTGGGCAGCATGTGGGGGCTGGTGCCAGGCAGTGGGGGACCTGCTCCATGTCACTGGTGGAACCCAGTGTATGCGACATGTCCACAGGTTCAGCTGTGAAGTTGTGTTTGTATACACTGGCTTTTTCTATAAAAATAAACGGCAAAATATTTCTTTCCACGTGAATGTCGACCATTTTCCCGGGTCTGGTGGTTGTGACCGGTGACACAGACCCACAGCTTCTCCCTTTCTTGCTTCCCTCCCTGCCCTGTGGCTCCGGGCACAGCAAGGCTGAGCAGGCTTATTTGGCCTTGTCTCTGGAGGCCTCCGCAGCTGTTGTGTCAGTTGACATTTCACTGTCCCTGGCAGTGGCTGTGCCCAGGCGCGCCATGGCACGTGGGAGTGACCCTGGTCTTTGCCAGTGTTCTGCACACCTGTGGGAAGGATTCTTGGAGTTTCCTGCCAGGTCTCTGTAGCACACCCTGGTCAGAGATACAAGGAGGAGGAGGAGCTGAGGGCCAGGAGGGTGTCCTTCAGATGTGGTGGGTTGAAAACTGCCCCTTCTCCAGTTTAATAACAAACTTTATCCTACCTTAAGTTTTCAAAAGTCTTGTAAAGAACGGGTCCATTCATTTTTAGCTGCTCCATGAAAGGTGAGAAAAACTGAGTGGGGGTGGGGGCTGTGTCCCAAGACCAGACTTGCCGTGGACTGGCTCGACTGAGGATCTGCTGGGCCCCAGGAGGGTGCCGTGCCTGCTGGCGAGGCTGCCCCATGCTCTGGTCCCGGTGCCGGGCTGCTCTCAGCCTCCTGGGAAGCAGCTTGGGCCTGGGTCCCACTTGCTACTGCTACCTCTGCAGGGCCCATGGCGTGTTGACCTGTGGAGGGCTTCGTGTGTCTGAGCTGCTGAGGATCTTGATTTCCTCTCTCAAGACAAACCCGGCGGCCCAGCAGTCAGTGACGACAGAGCAGGTACAGCTTGGGCCCTGGCTCATGGGCCTTTCTGGCTATCCTCACAGCTGTCCCCAAGCTTGTGGTACAGGTTCCTCCCTCAGGGCCAGTGCCAGGGTGGTGTCTAGCTCTTCTGGAAGAGCCTCCCATGGTCCCAGTGCGTCCTGGAAGATTGAAAATACAGAGCGCGACCAGAAGAAAGCGAGGCTGGTGCGGCGGCGCACGCCGGACTTGCAGCGCTTCGGGAGGCCAGGGCGGCCAGGCCACTGGAGCTCAGGAGTTTGAGACCACGCCGGACCTGGTCTCTACTAAAAATACTAAATTAGGCAGGCATGGTGGCAGGTGCCTGTAATTTCAGCTACTCTGGAGGCTGAGGCATGAGAATAGCTTGAATCTGGTAGGTGTAGGTTGCAGTGACCCCAGAGGACACCACAGCACTGAGACCCTGTCCGAAAAAAAAGAAAATAGTGAGAATTGCTAAGTTGGAGTAAATATTTCATAATGCGATTTGGTTCAGCTGCTTTAGCTGTCGTGTGACTCCAGAACCGCCTGTAGCACGGCCTCCCTGCTGAGTCCGGAGCACCCAGGCCGATACGTCCAGCTCCAGCCCCAGCGGGCAGAAGCTGGGAGGCTCCCAGGCTTTGGGTCTGGAGTTATCCATGAAGGCGGCTTCCTGAGCTTTGATGTATCCCTTTGTTTACAACCCAGGGAGAAGCCAGGCTGCTTGTGAGTGCAGGTCATCCTCAGAATGAACAGGATACGCAGCCTCATGTTTCTTTTAGCCCTCCTTGCACATACGCTGTCTCAGGGCTGCTGGCCTCTGTCAGGTCCACCTTACTTTTGTTCCTGAGGATATCTTCCCAACACGTGGGCACTTAATAAATGAGCTACATGTCCCCCAGCGCCAACAGCTAGGAACAATGTGAGCAGGTGGAGGATGGGACTGGGGCTGCTGCCCGCAAAGGCCCTGGGAATGAGGCTGCAGGTGCCCATCCCCTGGTGTGACCATGGCTCGAGGCCTTCAGGGATGTTGTGCACACACGGCCGGCCAGGGTTGAGAGCCCACAGTGATGGTGGGGGAGGTGCATGTGGGGGCTGGGCATCAACGCCAGCTTGGCTGAGGGTTGCATTCTGCTGGTCTGTGCACATCTTGGGCCAGAGTGGTGTCCCCAGTGTGCCTGCCGCTGGAAGAGAAGGCTCTGGGTCCTTCTGGACGCCCGTCTCCTAAGAGAAAGGTTGCTTGGCACCTCGTGATTGACTTTGTGGAAGGAGCCGTTCCTGGATTGTGGGCAGCCGTCTCATAGCCAGAGGTGAGCCAGGGCTCCGGGCTCCTTGAGAAACCCTGGCTGTGTGACCGTGGTGGGGAGGGCCACGCAGCCGGCGTTCGGGCTGTGGGTGCTTGTCCGGCACTGCCTCGTGGCTCTTGGACAGAAGGTGTCATTCTAGGCATTCCAGGTGGGCTCCAGTGACCATGAGAGGCTGAGATTGGCGCTGCTCCTCTGAGGTGTTGGGCCCACATGGGAGCTGCTTGTTCCCCTCCAGACACTGATTTTGAAGAATCTGGAAGGTCCGAGCTGGAGGCGGCCACGGCCTACTGGTGCACCTGTGGGAGTGCTGGCCTGGCCAGTCCCTGAGCATGGTGCCTGTGGGAGCGGGCAGGAGGGCTCAGCTCATCTCTTCTCCATGGGTCTTCGTGTCACAGGGCACCTGGGGACTCTGCTGCACTGCAGTCTCCAGCGTGACATGTCCCCATCTGCCTCACCCTAGGATTCACCCATCCCTGCCTGAAGGCTCAAGATCCTACTTGGATGTCTACTGGACTGCTTTTTCTTTTAATTTACTGCTATTCAGTCTGGGTGCATTGAGGACACAGCCTCCAGCTGTCAGCCTGTCCGGGGTCTACCTGCCTGGCCTTGTGCCTAGTCTTGTGGCCGTCACCACTGTCTCTGGGGAGGGGCAAAGTGGACTGGGAGGGAGGAGCTGAATTCTAGTCTTCTCTTTGTTCCCAAAGTTATCACAGTCTCGGCCAGACTGTGGTGACTGTGTGTGTGGGGGTGGGGGGGAGGCAGGGGATTTGCTGGTGGAACAGCATGGGCCATCGGCAGGTACATTTGAGGTGCACAGCTCCCCTGCCGCACACCTCTGGGGTCCCCGCGGTCAGATGAGCTCTGGGAGGTTTCTGAGGTTGCAGATAGCCACGACAACACTTCTTTCCTGCAGACGCCTGTGCTGCACACTTGGGTGCAGGTGGCCTCTAAGGGATGCGGCTGGGCACTGCCCCACAATGTCACCTCTCAGTCGTGTGGTGCGTGATGTGGACTGGTGTCACACCCCACGCGCCTGTTAGGCAAGCTTCTCTCTAGTGTCTGTCACCTCACCACGTGGCCTTTCTTTTGTCTTTCATCTTTTTTTATATTTATTTTTGAGATGGAGTCTCTCTCTGTCTCCAGGCTGGAGAGTAGTGGCACGATCTCAGCTCATTGCAATCTCCACCTCCCGGGTTCAGGTCATTCTCCTTCCTCAGTTCTTCCAAGTAGCTGGGACTACAGGTACGTGCCACCGTGCCCAGCTAAGTTTTGTATTTTTAGTAGAGGCTGGGTTTCACCACATTGGCCAGGCTGGTCTTGATCTCTTGACCTTGTGATCCACCTGCCTTGGCTTCGAAAAGTGCTGGGATTATAGGCGTGAACCACTGCGCCAGCCTGTCTCTTATCTTTAGCTAAGGAGACCATGGCATGCCAAAAGCTGAATGACGACAACCAGCATCCCCATTCTGTCCTCCCCTACTTTCCACAGGCAGGGACGCTCCCCATTTTTGCTGCATAGTCTTCTGTTGATGCCAAGCCCCAAGTGCTGATACCACTGTGTCTAGAGTTTTGATAAATCTGTCCTTTGGGCTGATTAATATGACTCAGTGGTGTCTTCTGACCCTGTTTCCTGTCTGGAACACTGTGTCCTGACCTCATTTCCTGTCTGGAACACTGTCATGACCTCATTTCCTGTCTGGAAGACTGCGTCTTGACTTCATTTCCTGTTGGGAACACTCTGTGTTCTCACTCTATTTCCTATCTGGAACACTGTGTCATGACCTCATTTCCTGTCTGGAGCATCCTGTGTGCTGACCTCATTTGGTGTCGAGCACTCTGTATCCTGACCTCATTTTCTATTGAACACTATGTGTCCTGACCTCATTTTCTTTTTTTTTTTTTTTTTTTTGAGACGGAGTTTCACTCATGTTACCCAGGTTGGAGTGCAATGGCGCGATCTCGGCTCACCGCAACCTCCGCCTCCTGGGTTCAGGCAATTCTCCTGCCTCAGCCTCCTGAGTAGCTGGGATTACAGACACACACCACCATGCCCAGCTAATTTTTTGTATTTTTAGTAGAGACGGGGTTTCACCATGTTGACCAGGATGGTCTCGATCTCTTGACCTCGTGATCCACCCGCCTCGGCCTCCCAAAGTGCTGGGATTACAGGCTTGAGCCACCGCGCCCGGCCTCCTGACCTCATTTTCTATTGAACACCCTGTGTCCTGACCTCATTTCCTGTCAGGAACACTCTCTGTCCTCACCCCATTTCCTATCTGGAACACTGTGTCATGACCTCATTTCCTGTCTGTGCCACTCTCCGTCCTGACGGCATTTCCTGTCTGGAACGTTCTGTGTCCTGACCCCATTTCCTGTCTGGAACACTCTGTGTCCTCACCCCATTTCCTGTCTGGAACGTTCTGTGTCCTGACCTCACTTTTTTTCTGGAACTCTTTGTGTCCTCACCCCATTTCCTGTCTGGAACGTTCTGTGTCCTGACCTCATTTCCTGTCTGGAACTCTGTGTCCTGACCTCACTTTTTTTCTGGAACTCTTTGTGTCCTCACTTCATTTCCTGTTTGGGGCTGTCTGTGTCCTCACCCCATTTCCTGTCTGAAGCTCTCAGTGTCCTTACCTCATTTCCTGTCTGTGCCAAGCCACTCTTTGTCCCGATCTCACTTCCTGTCTGGAACTCTTTGTGTGCTGATCTCATTTCCTGTCTGAACCTCTCTGTGTCTTTACTTCATTTCCTGTCTGTGCCGCTGTCCTGGAGTCGCGTGCCCGCCGTCATTTCCTCTCCACTGTGTGTTCTTGGAGTTTGGTGTCGTCTTGTATTTCGCCCCCTTGCTTGGTTTTCTCAAGATCTCTGGCTGCTCCGTCCTTGCTCCAGCGTTCTTCCCTGGCCATCCCTCTGTGGTCCAGAGGCAGATGGCCACCTGGCCCCCTCTTCCTGTCCTGGGTGTTTCTGTGCATTTTCCTGGTGTGGGGTTCTAGGGGGTTCCCCTCCTGAGTTCGTCTTTATCTGAGTGACCGCACTGCACTGTGCAGTCGGGAGCCTGGGCGCACGTGCTGTGGATGTTGTGTGGCTGACCAGGTAACTGGGCATGCGTGTGTGCCGGGCTGGAGGAGGATGCTTGTCGGCTCTCCTCAGTGTTTTGCCTCCAGTGTCCCCATGGCGAAGTCCCCTGCCATCTCCCTTGGGCTCTGGCATGTGACCTGTGTCCTTTAGGAGCTTTCAGTACCCCTCTTGGATCTGGCACCTAGAATGTAGTCTTGTCAGATGCCTTGGGGTGGCTTGTGTGGCACTGTGCTAGTGCCTGTTGGGCCCTTGCCAGGCCCTCATTACCAGGAGGCTCGTGCCTGGATCTTCAGGATGGCGCCGGAAGCATCTCCTGCCCGGCAATCCCTAGGGCTGACGTTGGCCCTCCTGGCACTGGTGCTTCAGTTGCTGTGGCCTCCCTGCTCTCTCCTTGCCTCTCAGGGTTACTCGCTGGAGGTCTCCGCCTTATCATCCAGCACTTTGTTGGCTACTTTTAGTTTCTATGATTGTGTTTTTGTGTCTGAGATGTCCTGTTTTTCTCTGTTTCTTCTGTAAAAGTTCCCACCTGTTGTGACTTGTGAATGCCATACCTTCTTCCTAGTGCTGCACAGATGTGATGCTTTTCTTCACAGTTTGTCTTGCTGGTTTCCTCTGCATTCCTTTGGTTGGTTTTGGACCTTGGCTTTAAAGGGGCACTTTCCCCACATGGGCCGTTCTCGACCATCTGGTCACTCAAGGCCGATGTGCCAGTGGCTGCAGGGGGAGGGCACCTGGGATCCCCGAGGACTTTCTTATGTAGATGTGCGTACCAGCCCCCCATCCTGCTTCTGCGAGGCCTCGTCTCCCGTGGGGGCGCTTTGTGCCAGAGTGTGGCTCCCTGGCGTCTGCCTCTGCAGCTGCTTGGCCCCTGGCCGCCTCCTCCCAGCCGCCTCCTGCCCTGTGTGTGCCTGAGCTCCAGACAATGCCTCCTTCATCTGAGAGCTTGGCTTCTGGCGGTTTTTTGAGAGGAGAATGGGGTGGAAGCGATGTTACTCTTCCATCTTAAAACTGCATTTCTTTCCTCATTATGCTTTTGAATTATTATATCTTCTTGACATGTTTCTCTGGAATTGCAAAGATTTTTATATTTTTAATTTTTATTTGCTTTTTTTTTTTTTTTTGAGTTTCACTCTTGTTGCCCAGGCTGGAGTGCAGTGGCCCGATCGCAGCTCACTGCAACCTCCACCTCCTGGGTTCAAGCGATTCTCCTGCCTCAGCCTCCTGAGTAGCTAGGATTATAGGCATGTGTTGTTACACCTGGATCATCTTGTATTTTTAGTAGAGACAGGGTTTCTTCATGTGGGTCAGATGGTCTAGAGCTCCCTACCTCAGGCAATCCACACGCCTCGCCCCCGAAAGTGCTGGGATTACAGGCATGAACCACCACGCCCGGCCTGAAAACATGTTAAGTAAATGTTGGCATTTTAAGCATTGAGCAAAGAAGAGTGTGAAGAGGTACTTTATAAAGGGAAATATGGCAGTACTGATTATTTGCGACTTTTACCTGAAGCAGTCTTCGGACAGCCAGACGTTACCTTCTTGGAACGTGGTGTTTGAGCTCGTGATGAGGTGTGTGATGCACGCGTGGGATTCCTGGCCTTTAAACCTGGATGTGCAGCGTTGGGTGGTCTTGGCTGGTGTGTGGGGGTCCAGCTCAGGTGCCCCCATGCTAGATGCCAAGGCCGAACCGCCCCGAGGGAGGATCGGGCAGTGGTGTGCAGGCGTGCTGTGATGGCATGAAACAGCCGAGGCTTTTGAGAGTTTTTTTTTTTTTTTTTAAGAGTTGAAACTTGTCAGTCAGGAAATGGAGTAACAGGTTTATCAGGAGTGTCATTTTCTCCCCCCCACCGCCCACCCCATGAGTGGCTGGATCAGGGAAGTAAGGTTTTTTCTGCAGTGTCTGGGGCCCCACCTGCGAGCGGGCACTGCAGTGCCTGGCCCTTGAGCATTTGCCTCATGTGTGTTCCTTTCAGATCAGATCAGCTCATCACTTGGCCGGTTTTCTAGACCAGTGTGATTCAAACCCAAGCTCTGGAATCATGGGCTGGCTTCTCGGAGGACGCACTGTGGGGCTCATCCCCAGTTGCGGGTTCCCAGGCCTGAGGTAGGGTTCTGAGAATGTGCATTTTGAGCAAGTTCCCAGATGACTTGGTGGCTGCAGCCCCTCCAGGACCCCCTGCTTGCTTCTGTCGGTGAAGTGTTACGGTGCACGGCCCCGCCCACCCTCGCGGGTGCTGTCTGTAGCTGCAGAATGGCTGAGTAGGCGTGAGCGAGACCATGTGGCCTACGAACCTGCGTGCGACTCGGTCCTTTACGGAACGCGCTCGCAGGCTCCCGATCTCGAGAAAGAACCGTTGTAATGTAGCGCAGCCCTGTTTCTGTAAAACTCTTTAGCAGGAAAAAGGGCGTGTCTGGGGTCAACAGCAGAGGCTAGGTTGTCTCATGCCGCCAGTTTACCATTGTCTTGGGCTGTGGAGGTTGTTTAAAGCTATAGGACAAATGAACCCTGGGATGGAAAGGGTGCAGTTGGGGTGATTGCTGTGTGGTTACTTTTTAAAACCGTTTTTTGAGGTACAGTTCACATAATAAGTTGCATGTATTTAAAGCATACAGTTCAGTAACTTTGGATGCATGCATGTAAAACTCTCACTGCAGTCCCGGCGATGAACCTGCCCGTCACCTGGACATCTCCTGCCCACACCGTGTGCTTTCTCCCCGGGCTGCGGCAGTCTGCTTGCGGGCCTATGGATGAGCTGCCTTCCCTGGAGCTTTGTAGAAATGAAATCCTACAATATGTTCTTCTTTTGGTCTGGCTTCTTTCCCTCAGCGTGATTATTTTGGGCTCCTTCGGCACGCTGCGTGTGCTGGGCAGTGTTCCCCTGCGTGGATGTCGCGTTTGTTCTTCCATTTGCCTGTTGGAACGAGTGGAGTGTTTCCAGTTCTCGACTGTCACAAAGAAAGCGGCTGCGAACATTCGGGTACAAGTTGTTGTAGGGACACACGGCTTTATTTCCTTGGATAGATACCTAGGTGTGGAATGGGCTGGATCATATATTTGTGCTTATGTTTAACTTTCAGGAACTGCTAGACTATCTTCCAAGGTGGCTGCACCGTTTTGCGTCCCACTAGCAGCGAGCGAGCGTTCTGCTCCACGTCCTCACCAGCGCGCGCGGTGGGTGGGCTTGAGGAGTTTGTCGTTCCGGTGGGTCTGCGGTAGCATCTCCTCGTGGCTTCAGTTGTGCCGCCCTCATCACTGAGGGTGTGGAGTGGCTTTTCCTGTGCTCATTTGCCGCCATATGTCTTCTTTGGTAGAATGTCCCTTCTGATTTTTGCCAATTATTTTAGATTGAGTTTGTTGCTTTGCTGTTGACTTGTGAGAGATCCTTATGTATTCTGGACACAGCTTTTCACATTGATGCTTTATGTAGACTTTGCCCCTGTCCGTGGCTTTCTTTTTCTGAGCAGTGTCTTTTGAAGAGTAGAATTGCAAGATTTTTGTGGGGTCCAGTTTTTCAGTTCTTTTTTTTTTTTTGTTTGGAGACAGGGTCTGGATCTCATGATCTTGGCTCACTGCAACCTCCACCTCCCAGGCTCAGGTCATCCTCCTGCCTCAGCCTCCTGAGTAGCCGAGACTACAGGTGCACGCCACTGTACTTGGCTGATTTTTGTATTTTTTGTAGAGACAGAGTTTCTGTGTTGCTCAGGCTGGTTGCGAACTCGAACTCAAGTGATATGCCCACCTCAGCTTCCCAAAGTGCTGGGATTACAGGTGTGAGCCACCACATCAGCCTCAGTTTGTTCTTTTGGTTTGTACTTCGATTTCCTAGCTGAGAACCTTTTCCCTAACTCAAGGTCACAAAGATTATCTCGTGTTTTTTTCTAGAAATGTTGTAGCTCTAAGTTGTATACTTAGGTCTGTGATCCGTTTTGAGTTAACTTTTGTGTGTGATGCAAGCCGTGGACCTGAGTTCATGCCCCTGCCCAGGGTGTTCAGCTGTTTCATGGCGTTTGTTGTCAAGATGATTTCTCTACTGGATTGTCTTTGTGCCTTTACCGGAAATCAGCTGTGCGGTGTGGATTCACTTGTCCACTTGTTTGTCTTTGTGTAGCAACACCATGCTGTTGTGGATTATTGTAGCTTTCAAATTATTCTTGAAGTCAGGGTGATGTTCGTGCTCTCTAGCCCTGTGCTTGTTCAGAGCTGTTGTGGCTCTTCCAGATCTTCCACTTTTCCATATGAATTTTAGAACCTGTTTGTCAATTTCTGTGAAAATTTCTGTGAAGTTTTGATTGGGATTGCATTGAGTCCATAGACAAATTGGGAACAGCTTAACAATCTTGAGTTTTCCAACCCATGGAAAGCTCTCTGTTTATTTGGGTTGTTTTTAATTTAATATTTTGTAGTTTTTAGTGCACAGGTGTTTTGTTTTGTTTTTTTTGAGACAGAGTCTTGCTCCGTTGCCAGACTGGAATGCAGTGGCATGATCTCGGCTCACTGTAATCTCCAACTTCCAGGTTCAAGCGATTGTCCTGCCTC